AAATAAAATTGCAAATCCAGCAGTGGTTTTTATTTTCTGATTCAGAATGAATGAAAATCTCATCTATAGCAGTGACAGAACAATCTATCCAAACACCAACCGTTTTCAAATCGTCCAGGTTGCGGGATCTTCTGTCGTCGCTGAGCAAAGAGATTGCCTGGATCTCCTGAGGTGTCTAAAAGAAGGTATTTCAGATAGCTCTTAATCACGTTAACTGATTAATATAACTCTTAACCAGAGAAGAGAATGTTAAGGGAAAAGGCTTTTTGACACATTAGACAAATCATTAATATAAATAAGGAATAATAATGGTCCACGATCTTGTTGTACCTTCAGTCTCCAGCGACCAGAAAGCATTTCTACAAAATTAGATCTGGAGTACATCCCAGCACTCAGAAGATGGGCTGGAGGTACACCCAGGAGTTTCACCATGCCCCGTATTTGCAGACAAAACACAGCATCACACCAAGATAAGAACAGGATGCCATTCATCTCCCACAGTCAAAATAATATCTATAATTTTCAATGATGCATTGCATCTCTCACATTAGAGATTACATGACATCTGCCCCAGAGATCCCGCAAAATCAGACAGCAGGCCAAATGCTGCTTCATACAATCGGATTACCTAAAAGTTCATGATTGGCAAGATCTAATGCTGCATTCCAGACACCTCCAAACTTAAATATTTCCGACCTCCACCACTCAAAGTCGGATATCATACATTTGAACCTGGGGAGAATCCATCTACCACAACTTCATTAAGAAGAAGTTGTCTGACGTCAAACAACAATGGTGTAAACTAAACTGTATTGAATCAAAATAATACTTACTATCATAGAGTTAAACCTGTCCTGCATTTAAATGTATGTCAAAATATGTTGCTACGGTTATTAGGTAGCTGGTTACAGTAAACAATCTCGGAAAGTTATCTTCTCTGCACAAAAGTTAATTGCTAAAATGTTAAAAATGTGGAGGCTGCACTGCTGAGAATTGTGTGACCATTTTCTAGAGAAACATCAGTTTGTCATAGTCAGCCATGTTTTTTGTTTAAGTTAGGCATCGTGCACCTGGAACGCTTGGAGGTCGGAAGTTAGAGATTTCAACCGGGAAAATTCCAAACACTGAGATGTCTGGAACATTATGTTTACACCTACTAGTGCAAGATGAGGTCATGATTAAAGATGAACTGTTTCTCAGGAAGTGACCCTCTTTCAGGAATTTGAAGTGTTTTTAAAGGCCCACTGTGGAGCTCTGGGTATCAAACCATCAATACTTTTTGGGACCAACCGAAATGTGTCATGAGCAAATATTAACAGGTAACCTTTGTAAATGTTTTCCAAAAGATGGAAATGAAGTCAACAAATTTGCTAGGCCTCGCAAATTTGGTGAGAACCACTGAACTAAACTTAACAGTATTTGGTTCCAAAAACAACAACTCATTGGACCAACTCAGCGCACCAATCTGACTTTTTCAGTCCCGATACTGATGATGACACCTGGGCTGATCCGATACCAGTTTAATTAATAAGCTGGATACCTCACAGTGTGGAAGACACTGGGATCATCAGACATGACTTTAACATTGCTTTCGCAATATTGTAAGACTTAATGTAAGTAGACATTTGATTTTAGACATAAAATAGCCATAGAACTTGTTAGCGTAGCAGGTGGGAAATACCTACCTGACGTAGTGAAATCAGGCGTAAAAATATAATTAAATTGAATATATTGGTACCATTGCCACTGATACACGATCCACGATGTTAGAGTCGGCCCAATATCTGATATCAGTGTTTGACTGGTGCATCCCTATTAAGATCGAGAGCCAAGCAGTAACAGCAGCAGTGGATGCAGCAGTAACAAATCTCATGGGAAAAGAGGAAAAGGGAAGCAGTCAGTAGCCGTTTCCATCAATATGTATTGCAAATTTGAACCGAATTTGAGAAAGTCTTCAAAAGAAAAAGAATGACTGCTTGTTTCCATACACCAGCGTTATGCAATTATTAGGAGTTGGTTCATCGCGATAAGCAGTACGTGGCTCCATTTCTCCTGTCGGTGAAACCATTATACCATTGCAGAAAAAAAAGGTGCAACGTAATTAACAACGCACCAGTCAAACCTCAAAAGGTGAAAATATGTTAATGTCAGGAAGATTATATCAGATCTGCGTGGAGCGTTTTTCCGTCTCTTCAATGGATTTCAATCTGAGTCCATTGCAATTTGTCGCATTTTGCTTTTTCATTTCGAAATTTCTGCATTTCCACTCAGGTTTCTTTAAATGCAAATTGATAATGCACATAAAAACAGGTAAATTAAAAGGCAACTAATGACTTACCGCATTGTATTCATGGTGGCCCGGGAAGATTGGTTCTCCATGTGTGCCATGACACAAAAGGGAAGTCCCAAAGTAATTTCTGGAGCCCTGAAAATGAAACAAATGGTCAACACAGAATGAAGAACACTGCCATATTTGAGCAGATGGTAGACATCATCTATAATATGATTCGAGTCTATCTGTAGCTCACCTGTAGGATGGTATTTGGTAACATTTGCCCTGCTTCACGTTAGAGGTCAGAACAGACGATCCGAAGTCGATGAGCTTCACCCTGAGTGGCTGAGCTTTTCTGTCCACCACCATGATGTTGTTTAGCTTTAGATCTGTATGTATCAATCCAATGGTCTTCAGGGCGTCAAAGGCTGTGGCCATTTGAAAGATCAGCAATGACACTCAAAGGGTGGACTCACAGCTTTTTGACTTTAGTGTTGTGTCCGATGCTACTGTATCCATACCTGTTGGATTACACTCCTGATGTCATGTACATTCACGGTTTCCTTTTCAATCAGGTAGTCCGATAGAGTCATATCCAGCAACTCAAAGACGAGAGCAGTTCTTCTGTTCCTCAGCTCGAAGGAGTCAATGAACCTGACGACGTAAACAAGTACATTTTGATTTATTTTACATTTTTATCAAAAAAGTCTTGGTTTAGAAAGGTCTCAATATGTCTTCAACCTGCAGGTGCATGTAATAATCCAACTCATCTGTGACCATGATAATCCCTTACATTGGAGATACAAGGTTTTTACAACGCAGTGATAAAATATTATGTGTGTTAGTGGCTAAAACGTTAAACCTTATTGAAGAATAAAGTGAACCTAAAACTGGATATTTACATTAAAAAGGAAGAACCCAATGTGTCAATAAACACAAATACAAGGTTTTTAGCTGTGAAAACCAAAACCTTACCTTCACTACTTTAACCTTCAGCACTTCAGTCATTTGCCACACACAATAACACATTAAATATGATTGAGTGAAGCATTTCATGAAGTAATAGTACGTTTTTTTGCTTTGGTAAAGGGGGAAATATGCACAAAGTAATTGGGTTGATTGTGTACCAGAGTAACAAGATGCTAAATGCCCTAGCATGGTCTTTTTAGCTAGGTGTGTGTAGCTAGCAAGTCTGGTTTGTTGATGTGGTAGTCGAGTCTTTCCAGAAGAAGGGAAAACATCCATCTTGTTTATGGATAATAGGGTACCTTAACAGTAAATACACAGCAAACTCCTCATCAGATCCCTCGACAGTTCTCTCAGTGAAGAAGAAGCTCCAGAGGATCAGAGTTAAACTGGACTGGAACAGAGGAAAACTGTCCTGCTGTGATGCCGATACCAACACACATGCACACCTTCACACATATTTTCACCGAGAGCTTGTTTCCGTACTTTAACACTGTAAATATAAGCCCACTCAAGATATTACCAGTGAAGGTCTCTGTGAGGCTGGGTTCAGACTAATACTTGAAAGCCCTCATTTATTGAAAGTCTTTTTAACTCAAGGATCTCGTACTCAAAATTGTCTTCTTGGATCGTATTTTATTGTCTTATTCATACCGAAAAAAACAATGCAGCAGGTGCCGGAAAACCAAATAATTGTAGAAGGCCTCCGGCAGCATTGTCTTTCAGGGCAAAACGTTGTCGATAAACGTCCTGTGTGGTGGAAAAAACGATTCAATAGTACCGAGTGAGTCCTATGATGCTGAAATTAAGAAACATTAAGGAAAGAAGTTTGTCTTTAAAGTATTTATTCTCTGCGCAGAGAAAGTTAAGTCGTCATACAATGCGGTCTCAACAATTTACTCGTGGGTGTGTTATGTTGTCTGTAAATGTGGAGGAGCTCTCTCGTGCTTGGTGCACTTCTGGGGGAGGGGAGAGGAGGAGAGGAGGGGAGGCGGAAACGGAGGTACTTCTCAAGTCTCTTAATTGTCGTTTCCTCGCTCCTCGAGCCTCGCTTGAACCGGAAGTTGTTTCTGCGCCGCCATATTGACGGCCGTCCCAAAGCTCTAATGTAGCTCGGAGGAGCTAGGAGCGAGGATGGAGGAGGGACCTCGGAGGAGCCATGAGAGAGGAACCACGAGAACAGATTTCCAGGAAGTCTTTTAACGGCCGACACGCCCCCTCATTTGTTCATCAGTTATGTGATTGGACGCTGCAGCCGATCGGACTGACTAACTGGAGTTTCATACCAGAGTGAAGACGGATCACAGAATAAACTCTAGTTTATATTTGATTAGGTTTCTGATTCACCATCTGGTTTAAATAAATGTTCATTGTAGTCTGAACAACAAAAGGACCACAAACAACTTTCTTCATTTATTAGAAAGATTTGTGTTTTCATGATCTGATATTTCCCTCAATAACTTTTATTATGAATGTCATCAGAAACAGACGTCGCTTCACCTGACGCAACTGAGGAACGGACCTCATGTCTCTTAAAACATATTTCCTCGTTCCTCTCTCCTCGCATGGTTTCCTCCATGCATCCCTGGTGGGAGGGACTAAGACGCAAGGAAAGGACGCAAGTGAGGGAAACGAGGATGCAATTAAGAGACTTGAGTACCCTAAGACGCAAGGAAAGGACCCAAGTGAGGGAAACGGGGATGCAATTAAGAGACTTGAGAAGTACCCCTGGTGGCCACTGCGCGCTTCCGTGTCACTTCCTTGTTCCTCTGTGGAAGGCGAAAACTTTTCACTGAGTGGATACGTCCGGGACTTTGTGACTTCACTTCGGCCAACCTCGCGGTCAACATTGGAAGCAGACATCTAACTTCATCGTCCATCGCTCCGAGAGCTCTCGCTCCGCGCTGACCGAAACTTAGAAGTTATGGCTGACAGCCGGGAAGAGGGGAGAGAAGACGGAGACCGGGAGCCTCAGGGCGCCGAGGGTGGGGAAGGTACGTGAAGCCATGTCAGGTGTACTCACAAACTTAGCGGCAATCTTTTTCACTAAAATATACAAAACATCGTTGAATTACTGTACATGTTAGAATGACGTTTACATTACCAGGGAACGTCACGTTTCCTTGTCAAGAACGGAGGGACCGGTGTTGTGCCAAAGTTTGTTCCCCGTCGATGTGTTGCCTCAACCCGAAACTAGCCCTGGGCATAACCACAACAAGTCGTCTGTTGTGGTGTTTTACGTGACCCCCAGACAGGTAGCTGTGCCACAGCTAACCAGAACCTAACCTCAGCCCCAACCGCGGAGGGTTCCCTTATGGGACACCCTATTCTCACCGGAGGGAACCCCTTTTATGAAGGACGACCACTTTAAATGTCGGTTCAGAAGGGACGTGTCGGACATGAACCTTTAGCCAGGGTTGGCTATGTTGTGTAAGACTACCTGAAGTTTGTGTTATTACCTCGTTACAGAGGCATATAGCTTCCTCTGTCCCGCAGTTCATTCAAAAGTCATTAAATATGAGCAAGATGTTGTCTCTTAGAGCTGGTGCGATGCTGCATGGTTTAGCTTGCTATTGATACAGATTGTTAGAAGTGTTGAAATTAGCTTATTGGATATATGCCGATTCAATGTGTGCATTGTGAAGAACCGTAAAGGCCTCGTGACTGCTCTACCCGGTAATTTAAGTGCGGCTGGTGACAAACAAGGTAATAAAACGGGCAGCTCTTTGCCTGAGTCCGGACACGGAGTCAAGGGTCACTGCGGTGTGCTGGGGCCGGTTTCAGACTTTATTTGATGAACATTTGGAACAAGTCGTGAGCAAGTATGCCACCAAACACCAACGCGAGCTACGTGCCCATCAAACGAGGAAGACGCCTTACTTATTGGGTCAAAGACGGGACCATGATGTCATGAGGGAATTGCTACTGATTGTTGTTGGGACGGTGACGTCACACGAAGACGTACGTTTAATTTTCACTTTAAAATCCAAGAACAAGAAAGAAGCAAACTTCTAAAAGCCAACTTTTGACAGAGTTGATGTATAGACAGCACACGTAGTTGAGAGAAAGTCTAACAGACCCTTTTTAATATCAATAATATTATAATAACAATATATTAACATAAATAATTCCCCTACTTTTGTCAAAGTTCAGTGTCATATTTATGTACCTTGTTTTGTTAATTTTGATGTTAGAAAATATACTGGAAAGATAGTTAAAAAAACTATACAACTTATACAAATTTAGTAGTTATAATAGTGAACTGTTTGTATGATAAAATAAAACAAACTAAAGCCTTAAGAATATTACAAATCAAACATAAATGTCTTGTTAGAACAAGAAACTTTTCCCCACGATAACATGTGTCGGTAAGCTGTTCTTTTTATTTTGAATATGACACATCTGTTCTCTACATTTAGACAACTAGAAATGGTTATTATGGGTATTAATAAGTCTTCTCATTGTTCCAGATGTCGTCGATGATCCCATCATGGAGCAAGGCGCGGTGGTCCTCAGAGGGTAAGTCTCATCGTTACAACTTGAATAATATTAATGATAATGAACTTGATTTATACAGCACTCTCCAAAACAAAGTTACAAAGCGCTGTTGAACCAGGAATAAACATTGAATACAGCAATAATCCAACAGCATGTATGATCAGGTCAGGAGAGAGAAGACGTGAGGTGTTCCTCCGTTGACGAAAACACGATTGAGCAACTTTTGAAGCTTGTTTGTAGCCAATATGTTTTTGAAAAGAATGTCAAAGGAACATACCAGAGGTTTATTTTCATGCTTTAGTCAGTTACAAGAAATTTTCATCTTTCCAATTTTTTTTTCTAAAACAACCCATCGTTTATCAGGTGTTTTAAAGTAATTGTTTATTTTTGCACAACATGAAAATCCACCCGAAGAGACTTAAAACGTGACATGCGTGTAGTCCATCGAGGGCTGGGCCATATACCGCATTAATTAATCCAATGTTTTTCTTCTTCTGCACAACACGTAACATATTTACATTCAGTATTGAGTCCTCGTCTGGGTATATTTCTTGATTTGACCCAGTTGTACCTGAGGCAGATCTCAATGGATCGTCAATGGGCAAACCTTTGTGATGTATATACACACATATTTCAATACTGAATGGAGTGACGTTTGTCATTGAGATGATGATCATATGCGTTTTAGGTATAGTTTCCCCGGTAATGAGTTAATCCCAATTCATTTGATCAATACTGAGGTCACCATTATTTAACACATTATATACCTTTCAAAGCTGGTCTTAGTTGTATGAAACTCCCGTTTGAATATGTGGTATTTCCTTGTTGAAGCAGTCCTTCTCCTTGCCAGGTTTGTGGCCGCACGAATAAACGCAGAGGATCCCAGTCGACACGTGTCCTCTGAGCAGCTGGGAGGAAGGCCTGGTGAACAACAGGATCCGCAGATCAAAGAGGTGGTGCATCAGCTGCTCAAGATCGCAGACGAGATGAACAGGAACGCCGAGCTCCAACGGTACGCTGTGCACCACGTACAAACTTTGGTTACAGGTTAATCACAGGGCCTTAAAGTCAATCTACGGTAACTCTGTCACAGCATGTGCACGAGTGTTCATTTTGTCAGCTATTCTTTTAGTCTGAGCCAAATGTCCTTGATAGTTTTTATCATGTCTTGAGTCAACCTCATCCTGGTTTTTTAGTCAGGTTGTACTAAAGGACTGGGCGTCTTAGTCAGTAATTGTTGTGATTGTTTTGGTATAGTATTAGTCAATGAAAACTGTAGACATTTTTATGCCTTCACACCGGCGACAGTACTAGATGGAGGCATTATGTTTTTGGGTTGTCCATCCGTTCGTCCATCTGGTCCAGCCTGTAGGGAAGTTCTTCAATTTTTGCACAAACATCCGCCAGGTAAAAATGATGAAGGGAGGACATGTTGGACAGACATGGGTGTGAAATGCAACTCGACCGGTAGGCGGAGGCACACGATCGTGAGGCGGTCATTCTAGTTCAGCCTTGTTACGTTTGAATGTGTCCATTTCTTCCCGTCAGACTGATCAACCAGGTTCAGGGCAACGGTGCTCAGGACATCTTCATGAAGGTGGCCAGGAGCCTCTTCGCTGATGGCATCAACTGGGGTCGAGTGGTGGCTCTCTTCCATCTGGCCTACAGACTCATATACAAGGTAACACCCAGAAACAGGCATAGAGTGCACCATTAAGGCTGAGTCCTTACTGCAGAGGCCCAGGTTTGAGTCCAGCCCAGGGCCCCGTTGCTGCTTGTCATCCCCATGCTCTCTGTCCTTTTCCATTTCCATTTGTCTAATAAATGAATAATATTTAGGGGGCTCCATAGAATTCACCATTTTAATGAAATTTTAATTAAATATTTTTTTCCCCCCGCAAAATACAGGAAGACTAAAACACGATTTAACATGTCATATTCCTTAGTTCAAAACAAATAACAAAGTTATTGCTATACATAATGAAAAAGTACAATTTGTCTTACTCGGTCAGTACCACTTTTTTTTCCCACTACATAGAGCACAGACATCCACTTCTACACTCCGTTGGGTCATCTGCTCCTGCTGTTTGTGCTTTCATCCGTCCGATAGCCGCAGACAGCAGCTAGCTAGCGTTAGCCGCATAGAGACAGGCTGGACACAGTACAGTCCACACGTTGCTCGGTCATCTTCGGTCTGTCCCCCTGGTTCAATACACTAGGACATAACCACAGTTGCTAGCCACTTGGTGTCACGGCAGTCCCGTTGACAGCGGTGGGTGTGCACATTATTGATGTTTATAGACAAGACAGTCGACAGACTCAAGACAGCTGATCTAGCGGCTATCATCTCTCTTACGTTTTGGCTAAAAATAACTTTCCATTCACATTTTACACATTGTGCAAAAATACATATTTGAATTAATTGGATTAAATTACAGTATTGGCCACTTTTAGATTTCATTCTTACATTTTACACAGAAACCTGGCTTCAGTAGCAGTGCAGTTCTGACTGGTGTCTCTGTTTTTGTTTCCAAGGCACTGACCTCCGACCACCTGGAGAGCATCCGAATAATCATCAGCTGGGTTCTCCGGTTCATCAGAGAGCAACTGTACCGCTGGCTCGTACAGCAGGGAGGCTGGGTGAGTGTCGCGTTGTCCACACAACGTACGGTCAGCCGTGTGGAATGTTCACTGGAATTGTTGCTTTAAGGCATTATGGATGGGATGCGAAGCTCTTAATCTTGCTGTCTCCATCTCTCCAGGTCGGGGTGATCCATGGTTTTTCTCGGTGGAGGACGGTAGCCATAGTAGCATCAGTAGCATTGGTGGCAGCTCTCGTTTACTACAGGAAGACGCGCTGAGAGCAGCAGACCTCCCAACCCAAAGGCTGCAGTCCCATCACCCGGAAAACTGCAGCCAGTTATTAAAGACTGTTAATTACAACCACTCCTCACCCTCCACCTATTCATCCAGTGGAGGATAAGTACTGTACCTTAGAAGGGGGGGGGGGGGGGGGGG